CCAGACAAAGGGGGGAATGAGAAACCAGCCTCTACCTCAGAGCAAAGCCTGTCCAAGGAAGGGACATCACCTTTGTCCTTGGAAAGACCCACAGAGCGCTCCTAGGCACATTCCCACCTGCTGAGTTGTTTATCTACAAATAACAGGAGAGATCTGCTGTCCCAGGTGTCCCTGACTCAGTCAGGCTAGGTGGCGACCCATAGCAGCCCCCTAGTAACCACCAATCAGCATGAGACAGGGAAGTACCTGGGATGCCAGATGACCCCCCAGTAGTTTATGGTGGTTGATAACGTGTTGGGAAATCATGTAGTTCAGCATGTTCACCCCTCTTGGCTTAAACCAATCAGTTCAAATGAATCCCCCTCTTGTACTAACCAATCACCCCTACCCAATTTGTTCCCGCCAGTGAGTGTGCTAATCATGTTCTAGAGTTGTTATTTGATTTTTCCTCGGTGTGTGATGATTTGCTAAGAGATGCTATGATGTCTGTGGGGGTCTCTGCCTTCTCCAAAGAGTGTATAAAACTGCTGCAAACCCTGGGCTCGGGGCCTCTCAGCGTCACCAGTTGCTGTGCCCTCGGAGGACCGAGCTACCTTGCAATAAACACCTCTTTGCTGTTTGCATTGATCCTGGTCTCTGGTGGTCTTTTGGGGGTCCCGAATTCTAGCATAACAACAGACAAATATAATTTCTAGCACTCTGCAAAATAACTGGCTTCCTGAACTGACACAGGTGTGCTGAGACAATCAGCTGGAGCTGAGAAGCCAGCTAGTGTCCTCCTCCCCCGGCCCCCCGCCCCCCCGCCTCCCACATCCACAGGCTGTGTGTGGATTCCAAAGCCTACCACCACAGAAGCCTTGGGGCCCCCGCACACACACACACACACACACACACACACACACACACACACACACACACACTCCCTGCCCGCCTCCTGCAGCCTATGGGACTTTGGTAAGCTCAGCATCCAGTGGAGACCAATCATGGTAACAGTGGGTGGCTGCAGAGAGCAGCGGGAAGGAAGTGACCTGCTCAGGCAGCAAATCTAAGCAGAGGAGACCGAGCCATCCTGAAGGCACCAGAGCAGAAACCAAAGAGATGCTAATCCCAAGCTTCCCATTACACACCATATGGATTTAAGGAACGGCTTGATTAATAGGAGCACTGAAACAGAGGGGCCACTCGCTCAGGGCACGCCACGGCTGGGAGCGTGGGTGCTCCAGCCAGGCGGGCGCCCCACCTCTGAGCCAACCAGCCCTTTTATTAGTTTTCACTTTTCGAGCGAGGGTCTCTCTAATTACCCAGGCTGGCCTCCTCTGCCTCAGCCTCCCCAGTAGCTGGGACCCCAGGTGTGTGCCACTGCACCAGGCTGGGAAGTGGGCCCTGAGTGTCAATGGTGCTTGAGTTTTCATGAAGTTTGTATTCTCTTGTAGAAAACACCAACGCTGTAATGTTAAGAGAAAGTTAAAACATAACTTGCAGAATTAAGGAAACTATATGACAAATGACAAGTATGTGTGACAAGGACAAGAACATAAGAAATATTTGTCTTCCTACTCCACATCCTGCCCCCCGCTTTTGTTGTTGTTGTAGTTGTTTTGTTGGGTACTGAGGGACTGGACCCAGGGAGCACTTTATCATGGAACACAACCCTTTTCATTTATTTATTTATTTATTTACGACAGGGGTGTGGGGGTGGGTGGTGCCCTACCTCCGAGCTACTTCTTATTTTTTATTTTGAGATGGGGTCTAGCTGCCCTGCACCTGGCTAAGTTGCTGAGGCTGGTCTTAAACTTGTAATCCTCCTGCCTCAGCCTTCTAAACAGTTGGGATTACAGAGCATGCACCATCTCAGTGGTCTCTAAATTTTTTAAATACATAAATTTAATTTCTATATAAGCTCTCAGATCATTAATTTGTGATGCCAAATTTTACATATAATTAACCAAATGTGTGTGCTTGAGTGTGTGTTAATACTGAGGAGTAGGTAGTGGACACGGGTTCCATCTGGATCCCACTTTGCTACCTTCTTTCTCCCTGGGTGTCCTGTGCAAGTTAGCAACACTCTCTGAGCCTCTATTCCCTCACCTTCCATGGAGGTAATAATAAGACCACTCGTGGGTTGTGGTGAAGATCCCATGAGTAAATACATGTATGGACAGTGGTTGGGATGGAGCCTGAAACATCTCCCTTGTGGATTCTGTTGTTGCTGTGTGCAGTGCTGGGAGTGGAACCCGGGCCTCGTGCTTGCTGGGCAAGTGCTTTATCACTGAGCTACACCCCAACCCATCTCTTGAACTTTTTTTAAATCAAGAAAAAAGTATTTCACAGGCAGATATCCAGCATAATATTTGTATAACAATTTAGATATGATCATACAGTAAAATTGGGTTACGTTTTTGAAGGAGCCGGGTGCTGCCGTGGCTTGGGAGGCTGAGCACAGAAGGATCACGAGTTCAAAGCCAGCCTCAGCAAAAAAGTGAGGTGCTAAGCAACTCACTGAGACCCTGTCTCTAAATAAAATACAAAAAATAGGGCTGGGGATGTGGCCCTGTGGTTGAGTGCCCCTGCGTTCAATCCTTGCCTGGTATGAAGTGGTGGATCTCCTTGTGCACATAAATGAGACACAATTTTAATGTCCAGAAAACTTTGAGACAAAGTAGACAATTGCAGCTCACTTCTACGCTAGTCTAATAAGCTGCTGTCCTCACAGGGCCAGGAAGCACACCGGGAAGAGACCAGTGAAGGCAGGCAGGAGGAATGGTGGTGCCCAGCTCAAGGGCAGGCTAAGAGAGAAGAAGGATGGATAATGTCCCCTTCGTCCAGGGACCTTGTGCTGTTAACCCTGGCAATCACACTCAGCCAGGCATCAGGGCACCAGGGATCCTAGTAATAAGCCAGGAGGAAACTGGCCCCACTCTGAATGGGGCCTGTGGAGGGCACCAAACATCGAACAGTAGAGGATCAGGGGAGGGCCACACTGTGAGTCTCCCAGGCCGTGGGCACTGTGGCCTTTGTGGGTCCCTTCCTTTATAAATAAATGGAAAAAATATATGTTTTATTG